GCACTTGTTTTTCCCCATTTCATCCACTATTCACTTACTGGCTCATTAGTAATAATTCATTTTAATTCTAATCTGTTTTGTACAAATAACAACGTTCTATGTTTCAGCTTACCCAAAGAAACATGTACCACTGGATTTATAACTGACATGTAGTTTATAATTATATTACATCTGTATTGTTTATATAACAGCTGAATTAAGTCGCCTTGATCAGTAGGTTGCTCTAGTTATAAAAGGTCAAACACTGGTCTGTCCGGATTGTTGGTTGCCCTGGATTTCCTGCAACCACTAAAATATTAATCATTGTGATTCGATTAGTTTTTAATATTTCATAGCATTGCACACTGGGGCTTCAGTCTGCTTTGGTGGGTGCGGCTTCCATCGTCTCCTAGTAAAGTTATGGCAGTTGTCAAGACAAGATAATCGTATACATCCTTATTTGGGATTTTGAGTGCAGATGTGCGGGGTATAGTATTACTGAAATCTTATACTGTTTGAATGTATGTTGCTCTTTAAAAATATATACTATACTGTAACATTTTATTTCATCGCACTGTTGGTTTTGGAAAGAGATGGAGTGCGATGGGACCCAGATAGGTTAGGTGTTTCAAAGACTAGCGTGTAGTTTTTATGCACCACTGTTAAATTGGGCACTTCTGATGGAGGAAGCTGTCTATGAGACAGTGTTGCTTCCTATGTGGGCATCTGCAAGAGGAACAGCAGGTTAGCATAGGGAAGTGCAACCAGTACTAGACTCTCCATCAAAGCCAAATAAATGCATCCCCTATACAGTGTGTATTGAGAGGAAGGGCCCATATTGGCTCTGACTTCAAAAGCTACTCTTCAGCTTTTTTTTTTGGCAGTTTTGCTTACAGTAGCCTGATAATCTTTTGTCTCAAGCTGTTCCTCACCTAGTGCCAGGATTTGCCATTTGTGCAGCAAGAATTGCGACGGCAACACTGTCTGCCTGACTTACTGCTGTTTTTCTTCCTTGGCTCTTCCTAGTAACGTGGCTTCAGCTTGTCATGTTGCGACTTGGTCTGTTCGGCATCTGTGTTGGTCTGGATGTTCTGCTTTTGCTCTGCTGATAGGGCATATTGTGATCTCGCTTTTGCCCGGTCATTGAATGCCTTGATCCAATCCCTGGGACACTGGCCCTGTGTCACTGCTCTCCTCAGTGTTTATGTGTATTTCCTTGGTTTTTAGGTTGCTGGGCCTGTAATAACTAATTAGCAATAAACTGTCCCTGATCCCTCCCCAGCCCCCATGCTGCTTTGCCTGGGCCGATATGGATGATGGACAAGACTGCGTTGAGTTTGGAGAGAACAAGTTTGTTAGCAAGTAAGCCAACCCAACCGTCAGCTGGCAAAGTCATGGTGTCCATACCACCTACCGCTAATGACTGCTGCTACCTTCACTGTCAGGACCATCTAAACAAATGACAAACTGAGCCAATAGCAGCCTTTAAGACGCTATGATGCACTGGTGTTTGTTTTGTAGGGAGATGCTGCTCTCACATCTCAGGACGTACAATTTATACAACCAGGGGCAGAACTTGCAGCTCAGACACAGGGAGGTAAGCAATGCCATGACCTTTGATGGATTCCAGTGACGGCTTCGTGTTGTGCTACTCTGCCCTATTACAGCGTAAAACATCGTACAACGTTTGCCTCCGTCTTGCTCCCTGCCGTCTCCCTGTCCCTCTCTGCTTTCCAGTCCTTCCATGTCTGTGAAATTATGGCACTGTTCCATGACACCTCCCAGCTTCTGTTTAATTGTTAATGGTGACCACAGAGCATGATAATTGGTATTAACAGTGACCGCAGGACCTTATAATTGGTATCATGCATGAGTGTATTTGTTACTTGGTGTGTTTGTGTGTGGTAACACAGTAAGATGCCTAGACTTTTGAACATTTTCTCTTCCTGCAGTGACTCCTTTTGGTATCTCATGCAGCTATTTTACGGATGGACTTTACAGTATGGTTCAATCAATAAGTCAAAGAAATTGTGTCAAGTCTACAGGGCTGGAGGGTTATATCTGACCTTCTGTGTGAAAAAGTGTTAAAGTAACAACTGAAAATGGATTCCTGCATGTTCAAGGCAGTGAAGGCATCTGGACAGTATTTCTGCTTTATCACAAATTGTATGATATCTTCTCTTTTACATAGGAGGAGGGGGAGCTGATTGTGGAAGGTCTGCTCAATGTCTCCTGGGGTCTACGGCGGCCAATCAGACTGCAGATGCAGGACGACAAGGAGCCAATCAGACCGCCGCCCTCTTCCACGTCCTGGCATTCCGGCTGTAGTCTTGACACACAGAGGTCAGAAGGCATTGGAATACTGAGGTCACTTAGGACGTATGACACAGCCTCATAAAGACATTCTTAATGCCCTTTAAGGGAATGAAAAGGACAATGATCATAAAGTAGTAATTAGTGTAAGGATTATAATAATCAAAATATCTGTCCACTGATGAATAGATTTTCAAAGGATTTTTATCCAGGATGCTAAGAGGAAAGATCAGAATGCATGAAAAATATCCATCATTTGGTATTTGTAGTAACATTGACATAGTTTTGTAGTAACATAGAATTATGTAACATTTTAGTGTGCAAAATAAATTAGAAATTTTAATGTATTCTATAAAAGTGGCATGTAAACAAAGGCCTCCATTTTTGTAGTCTGTTTTATAATATGCCTTTCCCCAGTAATGATGCCATGCAGCAAGCCCCTCCCACAGAAGAAGTGACAGACCCAAAGGACCAATCACAAGACTGCATTATGAATAACAGGAAAGACACAGATGAGACGCCAGAACAGGATGGTGAATTAGACAAAATAAGTATGTAATGCTGAAATCTGAAGGTCAGTTTTGATTTTTATAAAGTGTTAAAAAATAAAACATTTTAATTCAGTCTTTCTGTTAATGTCAAACCAGACCAAATTCCCAAAGATACAGGTGAGGGGGAGGAAGATTCTCCACAGCTCCAACGGACAAAGAGTGATGCAGGGGTTTGGAGGCGGGGTGCCAGAAGGTCGCCTAGCGACCAACGACGAATCAGGCGCCACCGATTCTCAATCAATGGCCACTACTACAACCACAAGGTTGGCTTTCCTATCCTATTCCAAAAATAAACACATTTTATTTTGTGTTTTATAAGCAGAATTCATACAATGTGACAATTTAAGGAAGCAAATTAAAAAATTAAAACCTACTTCACTGTCATTAAAGAATATGTTTGACTTTTATGGTCAAAAATTAAATATATATGTGTGTGTGTGTGTGTGTGTTACATAAGGTTACATAAGTTACATAAGGTTCAGCCAGATGGCTGGTGGTTCTGCAGATGCCCGGTCTAGGCATGCAGAGGTATATTTTAGGTTCTTGGTGATTAGATACAGGTGCCACCAGACTTTGCCCCAAAAATCACTCCTCCCCATAAATCAGCAGCTCATTATCCAAGGATACTTGCAGCTAGTCGTTATAGTCCTTTTCTTTGGGGTGTGGATATACTTCCCATGTCTGCTCTCTCCTTTGTCCTGCACCCCCTCCCCCCCCTCTCTCGCCACCCTCCACCACCCCCTCGGGGCAGACGGCAGTTTTCACTCCCGCCTACGGTTCCGTCACCAACGTCCGCATCAACAGCTGCATGACCACGCAGCAGGCGATGCGCGTTCTGCTCAACAAGTTCAAGATTGAGAACAGCCCCGAGGACTTTGCACTCTACCTGGTGCACACCAGTGGAGGTGCGACCCACCGCTTCAGCGTCTACCTACACTTACAGATACAAGTCATGCGCGTTTAGATTCTATGTATTCCTTGTCTGCACGTGCCGTAGGAGATGCGGATCTGTCATCTGGATACCTGGTTCTAGAGCAATGGGGATTTATTTCTTTTGCAAAAGAGAAGCGGAGTGATGCACAAGGCATGATCGCAGACAGCTTCAATGGAAAGGAGACTCTATGCTCTAATTTACAGCTATTTCTATATGGGCTCCCCTCATATACATTCCAGTAATCGTGTTTTTCTTTGCTAAGGTCTTTTCTCTTACCTTGTTCTTTGATTACAGGAACATGGGTAATTTTAACCATTTCTATAGACACAACTTTGCCATTGTATATATTGTATGTATTATCCCATCCACCATTCCTTGCAAACAAGGAGTACATAGATTCTAAATGCGTCTTGTAAGGTTAATCACTGATGGTCAGTTTCAAAAACTTTTTCCACGCATGTATTAACTGTGCTGCATCTGTGCATGTTTACGCACGCGTGTGTACACGCGTTCCAGAGCGCGTGCAGCTGAAACACACCGACCACCCTTTGGTGGTGCGTGTGCTCCAAGGACCGTGTGAGCAGGTCAGCAAGATCTTCCTCATGGAGAAGGACCTGGGAGAGGAGGTCCCCTACGACGTAAGGCATTAACCATCATCAGACATTAAGACCACCAGGCTCTTATCCAGCTCTTTGCTGTGGGTAATCGTAGATGTACAAATACAAACGTACAAATACAGACTGTCCCCGACTTACAACCTGTGAAACATATGACAACTCACACATACGACTGACGTTTTTTTAAAAATTAAGCAAATGTATGTAAACATTAATTTCAGGTAGCAGTACCTACAATAACTAGTGTGTGCTACTGTGGCATGTACTGTTTGGCAGTGCGGCCATCCCAGCTTCACAGGCATCTCCCAGTCTCATTTTAGACATAAAAACCAGTATGATTATCTTTTTCTGACATATGACCATTTCTGCGTAAAATCTGTCTGTCCGAACGGAACCCAATCGCAAGTTGGGGACAGTCTAAATAATTTGAATTGCATTTCTGTCAAAAATTTTAGTATAAATAAATGTTTCTTTTTTTAGCTCAAATGATAAGTGTAAACTTTAAAAAAATGCTTCACTTGGAGACTATAAATTTATACACCATGTAATACCTACGTTCACCTCCAGGTGGCTCAGTACATCAAGTTTGAGATGCCAGTCCTGCAGAGTTTCATCACCAAATTGAAAGAGGAGGAAGACAGGGAGGTTCTGAAACTCAGGAGCAGGTACTCAATGTCTGTAATGGGAAAAAATTCATATGAACGTGGCTTCAAGCTTTTCGACATTTCAGTTGCATTAAAGGGACAAAAGCATAACAGTCTTGCTATTTATCACTCACTGATTATTGGTTTTGGGTCTCCAGTAAGCATTGATCAGGCATTTTAAACGACGTGATAGACACAGATCATGCTGAGCTCTAATCTCTCTGCTTGCTTTAGGTATTCATCTCTCCGCTGCCTGATCGAGAAGCAGCTGCAGGTTCTGTCAGACGGTCCTTCACGCATGTGATGCAGGGTTGCCAAGCAACGTGAAATGTTTCAAGCACACGTGGATCTGCAGGAGATCGGAGTTAGTTAATGCTGGCCATTTTCGAAGAAAAGATGGCATCAACATGTCCAAATGAGCGTGGAGTTTGGTAGTCTCAAAGGAAGTCTATGGTGTGATGGAAGGCATCTTACTTCAGGAGGAAGGACAGGAAGTCTCTCCATGCTGTCATAATTAATTTATTTTTCTTACATTCATTTACTTGCTTCATTGCTGGGCTGCTGCTTCCTTATTTCAGTATTTTCCGTACCATCTCTACTGGAAAGGAAACCTACAATTTCAAAATCCACCCAAGGGCCCTTGTCATGTAATCGTGAGGTTTCCAAAATGCCACGTGCTTTCCCACAAATGCGACCACAGCCCAGCCCACCCACGTTGCTCAGGCACACAGCTGCAGAGAGCCTTCCTCCAGCCAAGTTTCCGACGCTGGGCTACTGATCAATGAGCTCCTCTGCTGTCTTGTTGCTACGGCAATCATGGAGGGTCAAACCAGGCCATCCATGTTCGGCATCACCATGTGGCAAAGGGCTTTAAATGTACAGACCATGTAATACCTACTTTCACCTCTAGGTGGCTCAATAAAGTTTGAGATGCCAGTCCTGCAGCGTTTCATCACCAAATTGAAAGAGGAAGAAGACAAGGAAGTACAGACACCCGGGAGCAGATGTAAATTTTTATCAGCTTTGAGAATCCTGCAGTAGGAGGACAGAGACAATCTCCAGTTTCCGTCTTTACCATACCCTGTTAGGGTCTCTGAATCAGCTCACTTTCCTGTTCCTGATGAAGTGCCTAAATTGCTTTTCATCCCAAATGATCTAACTGATATAGATTTTTTTTTTTAAAGGAGCATGTGGCGGTTGGATAATTAAGTGTCTCAGAGTTTTACTTTTTTTTTTTGGTGGGGGGGGGGGGGGGGGGGTTAATTTTTTTTTGTTTTTCAGACAAGCACAATTTGTAAAGGTTTTTTTTTTACAGAGAGTATGAGAGACGTCAGAGTAGATGTGTAGTGAAGAGGATTGGTGATGGTGTGCCTGTGCTGTGCTGTGCTGTGCTGTGCTGTGCTGTGTGGATGGGGACTCCATGCGTGTGTGAGCGTGTGTGTCAGTGTATGAAAGAGAGGAAATCCAGCACAGGGATACACAGCTGCAGAAAGCTGTTTGACAGCTTGCATGGCATTTGTGTCTTTGCACCTCCAACCAGGACTGTCCTTTTAACCCGCAGGTGTTCTCCAACCAGGACTGTCCTTTTAACCCGCAGGTGTTCTCCAACCAGGACTGTCCTTTTAACCCCCAGGGATTCTCCAACCAGGACTGTCCTTTTAACCCCTAGGGGTTCTCCAACCAGGACTGTCCTTTTAACCCCCAGGGATTCTCCAACCAGGACTGTCCTTTTAACCCCCAGGGGTTCTCCAACCAGGACTGTCCTTTTAACCCCCAGGGGTTATCCAACCAGGACTGTCCTTTTAACCCCCAGGGGTTCTCCAACCAGGACTGTCCTTTTAACCCGCAGGTGTTCTCCACTCCACTGTTTTGTTGTCAATGCAAAAAGATATAACATCCACATGAACCTTTTTCAGGAACTGAGCCCAATTGTAGTCCCTAGTATGGAGTAGCTATTTTTTCTTGACCAGGAACTAGGTAGGGCTTATAACAATTAACTTTGCTGATTGGTTGACCACAAGCACTGGGGCTTACTTGGAGGTTATGCGGTATTGGGCGGAAAAGAGAGTAGCAGAGGAAAACCTGAGCACATGGAATTATTTTTGTATCTCAGTCACATTAAATTCATTAATGATTACCTTTCTGCTTGCGTCTCCATATTTCTGCATTGGAAAATTCGATTGATAACCAATATACTTCTGTCTAATATCGCCGGTGTCGGTGAAACTTGCCAACGCTTATTAGCGGAATAATGTTACATTGTTTTTTATTCTGTGGGAAATGAAAGATGGTTCTGCTGGCCAGAGTTAATAATGAATAAACATGTCTTGGGCCATATAATTAAAATGCAGTGTCCCATTTTGATGTGATTTGTGCTGTTTTTCTAGACCACGCAATCGATTCCCCCAGTAACGAACAAAATGGATTGTTCATCCTCAGTTATTTTGACGGTGGCGGTGTGTAGTTTTGTATGAAATTTTGTGTTTAGCATAAAGGTCCCGGTTCCTGTTCTGGGGTGGGAAAGCGACACATGAAGGTAGCCAGGAGCTACAAGAGTTCCCGGTCGAGACTGAGCTCTGGTGGGAAAGCTCCTGTAATAGCTTATAGGAGTCCAGGTTTCTTTGTTTTTGGGATCATGTTATTCAGCGCGCTATTCAGGGGGCAGACACTGAAGATTAACCCCATGGTGGCATTGCTCAAAAATGCCAAAACCCCAGAGAGCTGGAGCATTGCCCATGGTATCCCTCTCTAAGCTAAAAATTTACATGCTTACCAATGGATTACAGGTTTGCCCTACAACCTTTCTAGCCCCAAAACAACCACACTCTCCCAGTGTCTCACTATGACAAAGCTGCACACTTTGGTCGTTTTTTTGATTGTTTGCTTCTGTCTTCGCCAGTATTCGAGCATTTCTGAGGAATTCTTTGTGTCTCCTTTTGCTCTCCACAAACAGTGGCACCACATACAGTATTTTATAGAAACATACTTTGTTGTATCTCTTTCTGAGTCAATCTCACTGTGTGATTCTGCATAAAGGTCGTGAATCCCGGACACATTTGATGACAAGGAAGCTTTGTTGTAAATATTCCCTTCACTCTGAATTTCAGAGGGAAAAAAATTTCTTGTCATGTGTTGCTGGGTGAGTTATGTGCTTTCCTGTATACGTCTAATGAAATCAGGTCTTGAAAAAGCAATATGTACTGTGAACCAATAAAATCCCAGGATTTATATGAATACAAATAAACAGCGCAGTAATCTCTGTCCCATCCGCATTGAAAGCACATAAATAGCTAGCATGACCTTGTATACGTCTGAAGCAGCGTTTCCCAATCCGGCCCTCAGGGATCCGCAGTCAGGGAGCTGGAAGGGAGAAAACACATGGACTGTCTGTGTGTCCCTAAAGACCGGGCTGGGAAACGCTGGTCTAAAGACTACAGTACGTAAAATCATGCTCACCACAGCAAGTTGGCCATTCACCCGAAAATACGGCCACCTGCAATTTTTCTTTTTTTTAACTTTATTTTAATTATTTTTGTGAGGAGGAGAGCTGCCAAAATCTTTAAACATTCACCAGGGCTCCTAAGGATCTCAGTCAGCGGTCTATGCTGTGCGTCTCCCTGCCGCCACGTCGCATCTCAAGCCTTTGCTTTTATAAAATGGCCTCCCTAACATGGCATCCCGGAGCATTTTAGACATACAAACACACACAGGAGAAACCAGAAGACAAGGGACAGGAACAAAAGCCTCTGGGAGTCCAAGTTTAAACACCCTCTACACAAATTAAGCTTGATGTCCAAATATCAGCAGGTAGGTAAGTGATGTTCAGCTAGTGAGGTTCAGGTGATCTGCTGCACTTTCCTGGTAGACGTCATAGCTAACATTCATGGTCTATCACCAGTCTGCTATGGCTGGGTGATTCCATGTGTAACGCTGCACGGGGCACGGAGCAGAGAATGTCGGGTGAACACGGGATCTAATTGGGATAAGCACACTCAGAAAGACGAAACGACGTTACTGATGTTAATGACTGGACTATGGAAACAGACTCGGACATGGACTTAAATATACCATACTGTAGTAATCACAGGACTGGAAACAGCTGGGGACATGGGGATTCCACACGAGGTGAGCAAGGGGGCACGGCACACAGGAGGATCGGAACAATAGAGACGCTACACCATGCCGGGGTATTTGAGACAAACACTGCAAGCCCATCATCTCGATTTATGGAAAAGCGAAGGGTCACCTGTCAAAGGTTAATGTCACGTTACGCACGAGACTCCAGTACAAACTGCTATGCGTAATTAATTTTCCAGACAGGTGACATGTACCTTTTTTCCGCACATGATAGATCTGCCAAAAACACACTACTTTTGTCAGCTGGCCTTCTGCTGCTGTCTGAAATTTATTCTGAAATACATACAATGTGGCGATTTTACTCTGCCATTTCAAAATGACACTTACTAGTACTATTAATAGCCAATTATTTCTGCTGCTTGGTCCAGTAACCTTCTTATAAGGAACCTTTCAGAAAAAAAATCATATTAAATATTATATATTTATATTGTAATATTATTAAATATTATTATTAAATATTTAGAACACAACTGCAAAACTTAATTGTAGGTTTAGATTTTGCTTAGTTATTTTGCAGCATACTAGATTAACATTAATACACATTTGACTTCTATTCCGCTTGTTGAGGAAGTGGACAGAAGATATAGTATATGCAGAGTAATTGCCATCATAGTAACTTATCCTGTCATGAAAGTGCATGTCATTTGCTATTGATTCAAAACCAAATGGAAATCTGGGGCGTGCCTCGAAGCAGAAGGTGGCCAGCGATTGGCCGCTGTAACGTGAGTGACAGAGGCTGTCTGTGGTCATCAGTAAGCAGGGAAGCTCAGGAGAGAGAAGCAGAAGCCTTGGTCTTCATCTGCATCCACAGAGAAGCTCTGCATTCTGCTGTAGTCGTCATCAGGTAAAGTCTGCACTCGACGTTCAGTCATGTTTCACAGTTCAAAATGGCTTCAGTGCTTTATAAATGGTTTTAACTGAAATGTGATTACTCATCATATTTAATACATACGTTATATTTGACTATGAAGCACATATTATACATTTATGTTTACTTCTCGGCACTCTGGTTATTGCTCTTGCATTCTTGCACGATATGTTTGCTTGTCTGCACTTATGCATCTTGCTGCTGCATGCATATGAATTTCCCAGTGGAATCAATAAAGTTCATCATATGTATTGTTTTTGCATGTACATTATACATGATGCATTCTATATACATTATATATTGCTATTTGCTGTAAAAAAAAAATCACACGATTTTTCACAAGTTTGTAGTTTCATGCTTGTTGGGGCGCACTCTGTGTAGTGCAGAATAGACACGTATATTTATTTTGGAAAAGAAATCACTGTTATTGTTGCTGTTCACTACAAAATAAATATAAAGAGTGGGAAAAAGAATAATGACAGGTTTTTTTCTGGCAAAGCTGTCATTGAAAACAATGACTCTAGATCTCGAGATGCGACAGTAAACAACAGCATGACACGTACCGCACCATGACACGTACCACGGGGATCCAGTAGGACCCAGCCTGAACAAAACCCTTCTTTTCTTCTTTGCTGCTTTGTTCACTGGGGAGTGAATGCATAGCGTGGTTTGTTGTGAAAGCGCTGACAGCGACGACAGGAAAGACTGTCTGTTTGTTTGGGACTGAGTGATGGGACTCAGATGCTGCTTTGGCAGCGGGTACCAGGTCTGGCAAAGCAAGTTATGGCCAGGAAGATTCACCAGGTTGGGGCTTCTTCAACTTTCCCAGGTGTATGGTCTAGTTGAATGGTGTCTTATATTTTAGAAATCATGGAGAGAAGTCTATAACTTTCTATAATTCTATAATTCTATCTCTGGTTTGAAATAATCATTTTTGTTATGCTAATATTTCAGGTAAAGATACCTGTTGTTGTTTTTTGAAAGGACTGAGCTCAGCTGAATAAGGCTTCCCTCACCTGTCGGCTTCTGTGTCATCCGCAGCTCCGCAGATGATTGGCCAGCGGTGGCTCCTCCCCCTTTGGGCACTGACGCTGCTCACAATGACAGTGGTCCCGTGTGTGGAATCAGGACGTGGAAGCTGGGACAAAGGACGCGGTCTGGGGGGAGCT